AAATAATAAAACATGCTATAATTATAGTTTTTTGATATATTAATTATTCATATGCAGATTTTGTATTTTTGATGTTCTAATTTAATGCTTAATTCCTAACTTATAATATTAACGATTTGTATACTAAAAACCAAAAATTAATTTAAGATATGGAAAAACTATTACTTCCCCATCTCAATACCCAAACTAATTCTAATCTCTCATTCTCTTTTTTGACAATTCCTCAACTAGTTGATTGAGCCAGTGAAAAGAAACTAAACTATTTGGCTATTGCTGACTATCATCCTTATGAAATTACCGAATTTTTTAGTTTATGCAAAGCCAAGAAAATTAAGCCAATTTGGGGGGTAAAAATTTTTCTTCAAGAAAAGCCAGAGGGGAAAAAATATTCAGCAACTATCTATCCCCAAAATAACAAGGGATATAAGGAAGTTCTCCAGAAATTATTTTCACCTGACTCTTCAAATGACCGAACTTTTCCCCCCGACTACATTCTTACTCATTTGAGTAAAAATTGCTTGGTTGTTTTTGAAGCGCAAAAGTTAGAAGAAACAAAATATATTGCTGCACAATGAATTCTAACACGCCCTTCTAAGAAAGAAGTTAATTATGAAAATCTTTTTATTGGGCTTAATTTTTTTCTCCTTTCTCCCACCGAATCTATTCCGCAAAGCATTATTCCTCTCCTCGTTCCTTTCTTTCCTATAAAGTGCTTAATTCCAGAAGAAACAAAATTATTAGGCTTGTGAAAAAAAACCAGTTTTAATCGTTATTTCTTTCCGGCTGATAATCAAGGCGATTTTCTTTCCTACTTGAATACTTATGATTACTTTTCTCACTGCACTGATGATAAATCCTTCTATCAACTATTGCTCATTCAATGGCAAACTTTTCTCACTAAAATCAAACTGAATCCTTCTTTTCGGGGAGAGAAGGTGAATGAAACTAAAAAAGAAAATTCCCTTTTGTTCCTAAAAAGTAAGTGTTGACAAAAATTGATAGCCTTAAAAAAAGAAAAAGAGGAAAATTATCAAAAAACCCTAGAAAAAGAATTAACGGTTATCGAAAAGCTCAACTATGCTGACTATTTTTTAATTTTTAGCGATGTAACTAATCATTTAAAAGAAGAAAAAATTATGGTGGGGCCAGGACGAGGTAGTGCCGTTGCTTCCTTAGTAACTTACTTGTTGGGAATAACCAGTGTTGATCCACTTGAACATAAATTGTTTTTTGAAAGATTTCTCAACGAGAAAAGAAAAAACTTGCCAGATATTGATTTAGATGTTGAAAATCAAGAAGAGGTATTCAATTATTTACAAAAAAAATACCCAAAAAAACAAGTATCGCGCATTGTCACCAAAAAAAAAATTGGTTGAAAAGTCGCCTTTCGGGAAACAGCAAAACTATACAAAATAGGTGAAATAAGATTAAAAGAAATTACCTCATTAGCCGGAGAAAATCCTGATTTTAATAACTTAAAACTGCAACGCTGGCAAAATAGCTATCCCAATTTGTTTGAATTAACTGGAAAAATTCGAGATTTATACTACGATACTGGCATTCATCCAGCTGGAGTTATCATCAGTGAAAATTCACTTGCTGGCTCGGTTCCTTTGAAATTAGAAAAAGATTATCTATTAGCACTATTTGAGGAAGATAAACTAGCCAAATTAGGCCTTAAAAAATATGATTTTTTGAGTTTGCGAGAAACCCTAGGTTTTATTCGCGAAGTGAGGGAAAGTTTGCAAATTAATTTGCCTGATTATCGAGAAATAAACTTAGCCGACCAAAAAACTTGAGAGTTATTAAATAATTTCCTTTTGACTGGAATTTTTCAATTGGATACTCCCTCCGCACGAGTCCTTTTTAATAGATTTCGCCCACAAAATTTTTCGGAACTAGTGATTTTTTTGGCTCTTAATCGCCCCGGAACTAAAAAAAAAGTTGAAGAAATTTCCCAAAAAGAAAATGCTAAAGCCAACATTTCCTTCTCCTCTCCAGCACTCAAAGAAATATTAACTGAAACTTATGGTCATATTATCTTTGAAGAGCAAATCAGCCAAATTTTTGCTCTGGTTTATGATTTCTCCTTTGCTGAAGCCGAAGTCAAAAGGAGAGAACTAACTAAAAAAGGATTAGAAAAAGACTTTTTTGAAAAAGTCAAAAAAATAACTACCTTAACTGAAAGCAATTTAATTTACCAACAAATCAACTCAGCTATTGGTTATACCTTCAACAAGGCTCACGCGGTCGCTTACAGTTATTTAACTTACTATATCGCTTACTTGAAAGCAAATTTTTTCCCCGAACTAGTTACCTATTTTCTCAACAAAAAAAAAGACAAAGAATTACCGCATCTGCAAGAAGCATTTTTTTACGGATTTCAAATAAAAGGTCCGGACATTAACTATTCGGAAACAGAATGAATTAAAAAAGATAAAGAATTACTTATCGGGTTTAGCAATTTAAAAGTGTATAAAGTGGAATTTTTTCAAGGCGTAATCGAGGAGAGAAAAAAAGGAGGAATTTATAAAAACTGAGAAGATTTAATCAATCGAACGATAAATTACTGAGAAAAAGTGGAAAATAATGCTTTTGAGGAATGAGTAAAAAGTGGTCTGTTTGGAAGTTTAGGAATAGATATTGACAATTTGCTCAACAATAAGGAAGCAATTTTTCGTTACTTATCAATAAGAAAAAAAATTGCCACAACCAGCAATAACTTACCATTTTTGCATTTACCGAATGGAAAATTAGAAGCAAACAAAATAATAAAAAATCAGAGAGAATTTGAAAGTTTAGGCTTATATTTCAGTTATTTTGGTCGTTGAAAAGAAATTACTCAAAAAAAAGAATATAAAGTTTGTTCTCTTTTAGAGATTTTTCAAAAAAATGAGGAATATGATAATAAAGAAACTTTCATAAATATCTATGCAGCTATCTACCAGATAGAAAAAAAAGATGAAAGTAGTTGCACTCTTTTATTACACGATATTAGAAATTCTTTTAAAGTGAATATAAGTGCAAAATTTTACCTAGAAAATAAAGAAAGTTTAGTAATTCATAACGAGTTGTTACTTACCTTGAAAGTTGTAGTGAAAGGAGGGAAAGTTAGCAATTTAATTTGTGAAAAAGTAAGTAATGTGGAGTAAAAAAAACCTATTTAACCTAATGAGGCTTGATTTTATTTCTAGCAAATCCTATTTTTTATTTCCCTTACCTTTTCTATTATCTCTTTTTTTGGGATAGTCTTTTGTATTATTCAAATTATTTTCCTCCCAGCCTTAACAAGTTTTTTTACGGTGGTTGCCTTTCTGATGAAATCTATTTATCTCCCTCTTCTCTACTAATTCCTAGTTTCTTAATCACCTTAGCTGCAGCTTGCTGTTCAGCCTCTTTTTTACTACGTCCCTTGCCACTTTCCCGAAAAGTTCTTTGCTCGTCACTAACTTCCATAATAAATGATTGTTGATGTCCAACTCTTATTGTTCTTTTTAACTCGTAACTTACTCTATTTTTCTGGGCTTGACAATATTCTTGTAACTGACTTTTATAATCCCAAATCATATTCTCTTTGCCTTTAATTCAAACAAAGATGGTTAAATTGAGAAAGCGATAAACTGATTTACCGCCCTTTTCTAAATACAAAGCTGCCACAAAGGACTCAAATATGTCAGCCAATATGCTTTCTTTATCGGCTCCATGGTTTTTTCTTTCTCCAGTTCCTAGTTGGAGAAATTCTCCCAAACCAATTTCCTTACTTAAATGGGCTAGCGTACTCTCTTGCACCATCAATTGCTTTAATTTGCTCATTTGACCTTCAGAAAATTTGGGAAATTTTTGGTAGATAAAAAGGCTGGTATAAAAATTTAGCACACTATCTCCTAAAAATTCTAAGGTTTCATAAGAAAATTTTAAATTGCCTTCTGAATTTTGTTCAGAATTAGCAGTTTTTTTTAGGTTTAACTCATTGAGATAAGAAGTATGACAGAAGGCTTGTTGAAAATTGTTAGTATCTTTAATACTGGCAATTATTTTACTTATCTTATTTAGTTGATAAATCATGGTTAGATTTCTTTTTATTCCTAATTACTATTAGTTTCATTAGAATAAGGCGTTCCGATTTGTTTTAAATAAGGAGTGAATAGATAATAATTTCATTTGCTTAAATGGCAATTTATCACATAAATAACTTCCTCTGTTTCGTCTCTTTTTCGATAAACGGTGTAGTAAATGGGGGAGAATTTTTTTAATAATTTTAAGCCCTTATTGCGATTTTCTTCAGTAAAGGAATGGAGCCGAAGCAAGACAATTTGATCACGTGGGAAAATTTGACTAATCAGAAAAGAAGAAAGGAAAATATAAACCATAGTTGCTCAGAGTCGCTCATTATTAGTAATATAACTTAGATATTTAGGAAAAATGCTTCTTTTTTGTTCTTTGTTTAATTCTTGAATTCTAGTTTCCAAGTCATTTTTTCTCCGCAATTTTTTTGCCAATTTTTCTCCCGAGGCACTGCTTATTTCTTTATCAATTTGCCCTTTTTCTGTTTCCAATTTTTCTTTCTTTTCTTCTTTTTTTGCTAAGTAATAATCTACTTCTTGGGGATAATTTTCTAATTGTTGGTGCCCTATTTTATTTTTCAGAAGAGTCGTGAGAGAACAATTTTTTCCCCTAATTTCAAAAATCTTTTCGATTTCCTTATCTTCTTCTTTCTCTAAATCGTTAGCCCTCCTCATATCTTTTTTTCAGTCCTCTAGTATTTCGATTATTTCTCTTTCTTTTATTTTTAAACCTTTTTCTTCCAATTTTTCCTTTTGTTCTTCAATCTCTTTTTCCAATAGACTCTTTTTCATTTTAGAATCATCTTCTATCATCGTGAAGTTAAAAAGGGTAACCAAAAAAATAATAATCAGTCCAAAAACTTTCATAAAAGTGCCGATTGAGAATTTTTTTTTACCTTTGCGCGAAGAAAAATGGGAAGTAATAATTTCTAAACCGCCTGGAGTGGCCTGAGCTTGGAAGATTAGACTGTACCCATAAGTATGAATAATGGCTGCAACAATCGCGATTACTATATAGTAAGGTAGAGTAAAAGATAATTGACTACTGGTGCTTAATCCTTGCCAACTACTGGGATTAAAGCGATTAAAAACATATTCTCGTAGTTTAAGGAATTTAAAGATTTGAGTTCAAATAATCTGAGACAAAACATAAAAAACCGAAGTGCTTATTATTTCTAATTTCGCTTTGAAAAAGGCTCGTAAAGCCAAAATAAAAAGTAAATTAGTCAACAATCCTAAACCATAATAAATGAGGTAATAACTGGTTCATCCAATATTAGTATTCCGACCAACTATTAATTTAGAAACAACTTGTAACAAACCATTTAACCCACTATTGTAAAGTCCATTCGGATCAATCAAAAAATAAAAGGTGAGAGTAGTAAATAGTGCTCCAAAAAAAACAATAGCCAATTTACTCAAATATTTTAAAGTTAGTTGCCTACCAGTAGGCTTTTTGATCGGTTTTTCCAAATAAAGCCGACGAATAAACTCATTGTACTGCTGTCAAATGTTATAGGTCCCTCGGGACTGAGCATTATTCGTTTTTTCTATTTTTTTTTGGTTTTTTTTCATCAGATTTTGCTAATTTAATAGGGGGGTATAGGGAGAAATTTCATTAATAAAAATGTAATTTATGTCCTCCTTTTGAAGAGAGTTTTTCTTGAGAAGTATTTCTGCAAGTAAGTCCAACACTCTTCTTTTTTTTCAAAGTATAGACTTAACTTTTTTTCAACATCGATTCATTATTTTTTCTCGTTCATTTTCAATTTTTTGCTTGGCTGTTTCCGGTAATTCAGGAGATACTCCTTCTCCGTAAAGAAAAGATTCTTGGGTTGGCACAATCCCTAAGTCGGACATGCCGTAATGCAAAATTAGGTCACGAACAATTTCCGAAGCTTTTTTAAAATCACTATAAGCTCCCATTGTAATATATTCTAGGCCAAAAATTAATTCTTCGCTGGCTCGACCCCCTAATGAGGACATAACGTGAGCTAACATCTGACTTTTGTTAAGTAAATAGTCATCGTCCTTTTCGCCATGCAAATCAACCCAGGTATACCCTCCTGCCGACCAACGAGGAATAATAGTAATCTTTTTAACAATTGTTTCTGGTAAACTCATGCCAATGACTGCATGACCTGCTTCGTGATAAGCAACAATTCTTCTTTTGGCTGGATTAAGAGTTTGACTGGTCAAGGAAGGTCCCATTAACACCCGGTCATAAGCTTCAAAAATCATTTCATAGTCAATAAATTTCTTGCCATAGCGAATACTTAAAATCGATGCTTCATTAAACATATTAGCAATTTGGGCTCCGCTCAGACCCTTAGTCATTGCCGCAATTTCCTCCAAGTCAATATCAGATTTGAGGGATAATTTCCGAGCGTGAAGTTTAATAATCTCCCGCCGTCCTTTCAGATTGGGGGGAGGTATGTAAATCTGTCGGTCAAATCGCCCCGGCCGCAAAAGAGCACTATCTAAAACTTTCAAAGAGTTGGTGGCAGCTAAGATAATAATATTATCACGGGGATGAAAACCGTCTAACTCATTTAATAATTGATTTAAAGTTTGTTCGGAATGACCGGGATTTGCTGAATATCTTTTGCGACCAATTGAGTCAATTTCGTCAATAAAAACAATACAACCTTGGGGATAACTACGGGCTTGGCGGAAAAGTTCTCGCACCCGCCGAGCTCCCATACCAACCACTGCTTCTTCAAATTCCGAACCGGAACGAAACAGAAAAGGCATCCGACATTCTCCGGCTAAGGCTTTAGCTAATAAAGTTTTACCATTTCCGGGTGGTCCAACCAACAAAACGCCTTTGGGAACAGTGGCACCACGTTGTCAAAAAGTCTGAGGATTATGAAAATAAGTAACTAATTCTCCCAATTCTTCTTTTGCTTCCTGCAAACCCCCAACATCTTTGAATCTGGTCCTTGGAACACCAGCTCCCCCAGCACCTTTTTTCCAACCGCGAAAAGGATAAGAAATAAAACCGATAAAATTGGTACCGAAAATCATATCAAACGAAGCCAAAGAAAGAATAAAAAGAAGCAAATAAAATACAAATTTGAGTATGTCTCAGATACTAAATGACTCTTCGCCAAAGAAGTCATGTTTGGTAAAATCCTTAGTGGCGAAAATTTTTACATTTTTCTTATTGACAAAGCCATCAAATTCTATATCTTTACCCCTTATTTCATGAGGATCAAGAGTACTATAAATTTGATAGATGGTTGGTTTTCCGATTAACCTTTTGAAGAAACTTTTCCCCTCTCCATAGAGGCGATATTGTTTATTATTTTCACCAGATCGAGCAAACTCGGCTCCTTTTGACCAATCTATTTTATCAACTTCTTTTTCCGTTAGATCGTAAATCCCTATTTTGTCGCCATCCTTTTTCATCATTTCAATATTTTTTTTGTCGGGTGGAGAAAAACGTAAAAAAACAAAAAAACCTATTATTGCAAGAAGGAGTAAAAGAAGAAATGGACCTAACCATTTCCCTGATTCAGAGGTCTTTTTAATTTTTTTCGTTGGCTCTTTTTCTTTCATTTATCACTTAAATATTAGAATATTAATATATTTTTAGGGGAAATAACGGCTTGATTATTATGCTTGATTATGTAAAAATGTTTTCCTAAATCTATATTTAAATTCACTTTTTTACTACTAAATAACTGCTTATAAACCTCGTCAAGAAGCTTTTTTTTTCTTTGCTGAATTATTCCGCCAGTAACTCTATTAATTCAAGAATAAAGTAATCGTAAATATACTTCTTGCGGGTATTCAATTTCTCCACTAAGTTGGAGAATAGAAGGGGAAATAATTAGTTTTTTGGCGGCTTTTTCAACCAAATTTTTAACTTTTTTTAATTCTCCGTTTTTTTCTTGAATCTCTTTTTCCAAAGTTTTTTTTTCTCCTTGAGTGAAATTGTCTAATTTTTGGCGAATAATATTCCGTTGATAAATCGGCAATTGATTAGTAACATCAACTGCATAATCTATTTTTTTTTCGGCTAAATATTGATAAATCTGTTGCTTGTTAAGAGATAAGAGAGGTCGGCATGTTCAATATTTTCATTGTTTTGTTTTTGCTGGTAATCCTCAATAATCAACTAATGACTTTCTTTGTTTTTGGAGCAAATAGGTTTCTAAATGGTCGTCGCAGTGGTGAGCTACTACAATATATTCAGTTTGGTACTTGTCGGCTAACTTTTGAAAAAAATCATAACGGATTTTGCGGGCTTTAGCTTGAAAATTAGCAATAGAAGCACACTCTGAACTTTGGACTTGGTAAATCTCACAAGGCAAAGAATATTTTTGACAGAAATTTCTAACTAACTTTTCGTCATAATCACTATCAATTCTTTTTTTATAATTAACATGAGCGACAATTAATTTATAACCTTCTGCTCGCATATTATCCAACAAAAACATACTGTCGGGACCACCTGAAACACCTACTATGTGTAATTTATTTTTAATAAGCGCGTTGCTTCTTCTCATCATGATAATCAACTAATTCTACTTCGTAAACTTTTCCTAACTCCCAAAAAAACATATTCGTCATTGGTCGTTAACACGAATGCTATGCTGTCTCTTTCTTTTACCTCTTAAAGGCTCTAAATCCGTGCCAAACACTTCTCTTAATTTGTTTCAATCAATAATGACATTTCCTCCCACGTTCTTTTTTGTAGTTCTTTACTTCATTGCTTAACAAAAATACGATTTCAAATCTTTTCCGTGTCCTTGTCTTTAAACTGTTTTTGCTCGACCATGTTGCTTCGTTCTTTGGTAAGGACGGACTACTTTTTTTACCACGGACTCTTGCCTATCTTTCCAAATTTCTAAATCCTTCGACTCCTACTTTACAGCACAATTCAATTTAATTGACCGTTTTTACCAAGCAAAAAAATACGAAAGACAAAACTAAAAATATAAAACTTAAACTAAATAGTGAAAATGGATTCCCTAAACCAAAAAAGGCAAAATGCTTCCAATGCAAGTAAG